CCGTAATAGTAATGCTATCACACTCACTGCCAACTTGGCCACTATTTTAGTAGAGTACGAGATTTTGAAGAGTAACTGTAGATTAGATTCATTCCTAGTATATTGTTTTGTAGACAGCTATTTCGAGTTGCGAAGACAACGACTGAACAACTTCGTGAATTAAAAAAGACTAATTATCTCTACATTGTAAGCATGAGTGATTTATCAGAACGTTTCGTTAGGTTTTGGGTACAAATTGAAAGGTTGAAAGGTTGAACGATGTCGATGAAGGCTCATACAAATCTGCGGAAATGCGTAAAAGCGCCGAGTCAAAGCAGAAAATTTTGAAATCCCCAACCTCCCACTTCCGTTGAGCTTGTAGAGACTGTCAGATATATGTCAATAAAGATATCAACTGGCTTGTAAGTTGCTTGTAGAGTCTGCCTTTCCGAGGCGCAGCACTCCGGATTTTTGTAACTGAGGGTGATTTATAGATATCAAGCGAACGATTCGGTTGGACAGATACCTTTCGGGGTGGAAGATATCGACGTTGAGGGTTCAGAACAATATTCTAGACAGTTGATGTGCTCGGGCGCCCAATGCGTTCCAGACGGACATGTAGAAGGGAGCGCAAAGGTCATCAATACCGGTGCCGTTCCAGGAGAATGCTAGTTCCCCGAGACGAGGTAGGGTCGCGATCCCATCAGAATGAAGTAGCGAAGCGACACTGAGAAGTGCGTTCTCGGACATGGCAAATGCGGACCGCAGCTCGAGCTGGATGGGGGGAAGATTGATACGAGTAAAGTCATTGTCGTCGCCTAAATAGGATGGATACCGTGAGATGGTAGTGTGCGGTAGTTGAGGGGACCAGAAACACCGACCTTTGTTGTGAACGCATGTTCCGCGAAGAAGTCCGTCGAATACAGCCTGCATGATCTCGGGTTCAACATCAAAATGAAGAGATTCAAGTTGGGACAGCTTGTGTGGGAGGGGGAGGATCCCTCATAAGGAAAGATTCAAGGAAGTGTAAAGAGCTGAGTCGGAGGTGCTTCAAAACGTGATTCTCATGATGGGGAAGTCGCTAATTCCCCCCGAGTGAAGATAGATGGGCGAATCAGAGCGGAACGCGGATAACAACGCATCCTGAACGCGGCGAGGGAGGTACTCCCAACTGCCAGTGGCGGTGAAAGTAGTAATTGCTAAGTTGAGATTGTACAGGGAAGGTAAAATGGTTTGTAGCGAGTTATCGTAGTCAGTGCAAAAGATGGAAATTGTGATCAAACGAACATGGATCAAGACACGCGTTTATGAAGATTGACTTGAGATTGACCGCAACCAGGCAAGTTCAAGTTGAAGCACAGACTTCAAGCTTCAAGATTGTCATCGCGTGACCGTACTAACACCTATCTGCCAAAGACGCCGACATGTGGACTAGGTTGTCCAGAGACAACTTCGCCGCCGTCACTGCATGCTTGACCACTCCAAGAACGTCGTTGTGTCAGGAGGTTCCCTGACGGTTGTTCACGGAAACTCCATTACATGTGAGGGACAACATGCCGATTATCCAACCAGCCAAGGGGGTGTCGGGATCATAATCCCGGACCGGGGGCCGGTTGGTTGGTTGGGCCGTCAGGCCGTTAAAAAAAAATTGGAAGCTCAAAAATTTTGGCCCAAAAACATTATAGACGGCCTTCCTGATGGATAAAGTATACATAATAGATACTAGAAAGCCTCAAGGTGTGCTAAATGCCTCAGGATGCGCCAAAAACACCAATGGGACTGCTTACATAAGGCAATAATAACATGCATTGATAATTTTCGTTAGTGTGGCAACCGTCAAAGACCTTTGATTATGATTTGTTAGCATATTCCGGGGCATGCAAACTCACCGTGAGATTCCACAGAACAGGACACTCATGCCGTGACTCATTCTGACACCAACGAGGTTCATAGGCCACCTATTTCAAGCTCGGAAATTGTCAACAAGGAAACATGAGGTCAGTGTGAAAGATGAAAACGTAAGGTTGTTGACATTGGAGGATTAGAGGATTGTTTTTGTGGATCCCGAGCAGAGCTAACCGCCAACAATGTGATCCAGTGGGATGTGAAACTGTGTGGATAAGTAAACCTACTTTCTGTTAGGGTTTCAACATGAAACTTACTTACATCTTCACGTCAAACCATTCTAATATCATCTCATTTGTGTTTGCCATGCACAGGTGCCCATGCATTGGGTCTGCAATGCATTTTCAATGTCGAAAGGAGGACCAGGAGCACGGCGGTGACGTCATATTTCCTAAAGTAGACATGTGCCTGATTACGTTGGGTGGTTGGTTCAGCCCAGCGCTCACTACCAAAAAAATCGACCNCTAGGTCTTTTTTTAAAATCCCGACACCCCCTTGCAACCAGCAGCCGTGCTGGAATCCAAGGTAAGATGCCATCTATCTCGTCCTATTCGGTCACTGACTTCTTTTCTTGCATCAGGATTGAGATTACTCTATGACAATATCGCGGCGGGTGCGATGCACAACTCCAAAGAACGTTATGACTCTCCCAAATGCCACCCCGACACTCGGAAAGCAGTATTAAGCGACATCACCAGTTGGATTTCGGATCACTCCAAGAAGACTTGTATCCTCTGGCTGAGTGCTCCAGCCGGCTCAGGAAAATCGGCCATTCTGCAACAAATAGCAGAAAGTTATTATAATTCTGGGGGATTGTCTGCAAGTTTCTTCTTTTCTCGGACAGCTACGAAGAGAAACACGGAGACCTTCCTTATCGCCACGCTCGCTTCCCAACTTGCGACTTCGATCCCAGCCACCAGACTACTTATCGAAGAAGCGATTGAGCGAGACCCGTCCATCTTCCACCGCGTCCTCTCTGAACAGATGGTCCGTCTTGTGGTTTACCCGCTGGTGAACGCTTCACTTCATCCCGCAAGCGGCGCACCGTGGCCAACGTTGCTTGTCATAGATGGGCTCGATGAGTGTAATGGAGGAGAGCGTCAGGCCGAAATCCTTCGTACCCTCAGTGTGGCCCTTTTACAACTGAAGTCCTCTTTACCAACACTATACCTCTTGATCGCGAGCAGGCCAGAGCCGGCCATTGTCACGGTTTTTGACAACGAACTCTCGGATATCACTCACCGTCTAGTCCTCGACGATTACTACCATCCCGATCGTGACATCGCGGTATTTCTTCGAAGCAGCTTCGCTGACATATTCCGTCGACGCCATGCTCGCTTCCCTTCTATGTCGTCCATCCCGCAGCCGTGGCCCCCCGAAGATGTTATTGCCTTCCTTGTCCGCAAATCATCCGGCCAATTTATTTTTGCTGCGACGGTCATCAGGTTCATATATGTTGATCGTAAGATTCCAACCGCCCAGCTGCAGCTAATACTCGATGTCTGTGATTCAGTGGATTCATCGAGGTTTGCAACTAACCCTTTCGCTCTACTCGATGGGCTCTATAGCCATATCTTGAAGTCTAGTGAAGAAACGGAGCGGGCTATTTCTATACTTGGGGCTATTTTCTACCTAAACAAAGAAAAAAATCCGAGTCTTGAATTCCTCCAGGCGCTTCTCCGACTCGAACCCGAGGACATTACAATGATCTTTTGGGACTTGCACTCCATCGTTCACATCCCTGTTTCTGACGAAGATCCTATTCATTTCTACCATGCGTCCCTTCGGGATTTTCTTATGGATCGACATAGATCGCGTAACCTATACATTGATGGATGCAAAGCCCACTCTCTCCTCCTCAGATCGTGTATTCAAACCCTCACTGATTTTCATAATGGAGTCACCCAGGAAAGAACAGCCGCTGCATTGAAGTACAGCAGGGACCACTGGGTAATCCATTATGATCACGTTGATATGCTGGGTCCTGGCATTTTGGATAAGGTTCTGGAAGAATACAGTCCAGAAATATGCCAACCATTGGATATATCGGTCGATGCCAGTGCCTTTGTATCGTGGTGGAATGATTTTGCGCTATTGCTGAACCGCTTCCATAGTCGAGTGAGTGTATTCATTTACCTGATTTCGCTCATGATGCTTATACCTTCTGACGGTCTTCCTCTAGTGTAGTTCAGACTGCTCAGCTTCATGTTTTCGGTGGGTTCTTGATCGGTATCTTCTTCACCGATTCCAGAAACATAAACTCCCCGCCGTTGCAGCAGCAGTCATGTGGTTGACATTATTGGGTCCCATATTTTCTGCAGCGTCTGACTCATTCCGCGATG